GGAGATGCACCTCTGTTGGTATGAGTAGTACTATTAATCCTTTTAAATTAAATCTCAAGTATTACAGTTCAGCTCTCAGGTCAGGCACCCGCAGTTTACAAACTTCTATCTGCGTTTGGAAGCCAGCACTCTTATCTTTGCTCCACTCTTCCAGTTCCCTCCCACACCCATTTAACCGCTGCCACATATGCAAACCATGCGAAATATTTCAGGCCCATTGGATGACTTCCCGACAATCACTTTCCTATATCCACATATTTTCAAACTTGAATGTCTTCCTCCCCCTGTATTTGTTCTCCTTATTCATCTGAATGTACATCATTAAATGATCGCTGGTGGGGCCTTCAATAGACATAGCCTTGTGACCTCCAAAAGGGATAACCGATCCTTATTAGCTAGAATCATGTCTAACTTTTCCTCGATCCATCGGGGGTGCCTCGCCCTCTTTCCCAAGTCCACTAATAACCTTCAAAAAGTACATTCACTAAGCCACTACTCCATATTGCTTCACGGAATCCCCTCAATAACCACGAGAAATGAGGAACACTACTTTTACGCTCATTTTCAAACATTATATCATTAAAGCCCACCATTATCAACCATGACTCATTTGAATCTCTAGACAACCTATGTATCAATTCCCAAGATTCGTGTCTCCGACTACGTTTCGGGAATCCATAGTAGCCGGTGTAACGCCATAAAGGTTCATCGCTCCTTAAACGAAGAGAATCATCAATATATGTATTCTCAATACTTTTGATTGTGATTTCAACTTGCTCCCTCCACAACAAGCATAAACCTCCACTGAGTCCCACACTATCAACAGCCACACAACCATGAAAACCCAAATGTTTTCGAATTTCCTCACAATGTATGACATTTGTTTTTGTTTTTATGAAAACTAAAATTTTAGGTCTTTTTGTTTGCACAAGATCAACAAGAACCTGAACTGTGGTCAGGTTACCCAGGCCCCTGCAGTTCCATGAAACAACACTTATCATTTAAAGAACTAACCACTTTCAATCACCATCTCCAAAAAGCAAGAATCTCAAAAATACTTTAAATGGTGACAAACGCACCCCAAAAAAAGCTAGACAAGCTAGGACCAGTCCGCCATTTAATTAAAAAGAAGTTTATGAGGAATACACGAGTCAAAGCCAGTAGCCAAAGTAGAGCACAAAACACCTGAGGGGGAAGAGATGCGGTCTGCAGGCATCAGCAATGATTTGAGAAAGCACCGGCTAGATCCACGTCGGCGGCGGCCCTTCAATTGAAATCAGCGGAGCTAGGGTTCTGCATCTCGTCCTACAGCCTTCCTTCGTCGCAAGTAGCTCTACCCACGTCGGCGACGACCCTTCAATTGCAGTCGGAGACGCTAGGTTTCAATTGGAGTAGTTATTTCTCTTATCGTTTCTTTATTCGATTATATACATTATTAGAAAATCTTAATAGAAATAAAATGTAAGAAAAATAAAAAATCATAATGTTGCAACTTTTAAAGAAGGTAGAAAGTATATTGAAAAAACTCGGGACTCGGGGCGGACCACATTGCTTAGTATGTTTTTACTTGGATTGTTTTCAATCCTAGACCAGATCATATCACATAAAAGCAGATTAGGCTTGGACCGCTATAAAATTCAGACTAATTCATAAAATTAATGTCTGCTGAGAGAGGGTGCGTATATTACTAACATTCTACCGACATTATCAAACTTTTTTACTAGCATTCTTCCAAACTCAGATCTTCACCGACAGGTATTCCAATTAAGTGAGAATTCATTACTCAGATCTGAATTGATTGTAATACATCGTATCGCTGCTTATTATTGTGATGATTTGGCTTTTTAGCTCATACGGGTTGCTAAATTCAAGCTTTCTTGATTGCCAATCTGCATTGTTGATTTTGTTAAACTATGCACAGACCTCTTACATTAGTTAGTTTCCCCTCGGATTCATAAAAAGCTTTCATTTTGGTTGTTTAAATGTTGTACAATTACTACGCCCTATAAACATACATGAGTTCCTTTTAAATGTTGTTCAAATTTCCACAATATTTTAATAAGCTGACCTTTCGTTCTGGCGTCATATTCGACAACTCTCCATTAGGTATTTCGTTTTTACGCTACATGCCGCTCAAGGGTTGTTTCAATTATCAAGATATGAAACCCAATTTCAGATATTTGATTCATTAATGATTTTTTTAGATCTATGTTGAAATAGTCCGAATCTCAAACACCACTCTACAGATCTTCTATCACTCTAATTCAATTTGGATCCCGCCTATCAGGAACAGTGTTTACAAAACGTTGTGTATAATGACTTATTCTTTCATAGTGATGGGAGGGAGGGTTGATATCTCGGTCTGTGTAGTTGGGAGTTTCTATGGATAAATGATGAGTATCACTCTCAGGCCTAGAATGGCCTGCCGTATTGACTCGGGACATTTTTATACGGTCGGGTCGTGAAATTTTGAGATATGATATACACCCTCAGTCTCTCAATTGAGTTCCTAGTTTGACTCCACGATTTATTTATGATAAAATAATTTTTTAAATTGAGTTTCTAAGTTTCCCTAACTAATCCGTGTGTCCCGTTAAGATTGTCTGATCTTTCCTTTTCGGTGCGTCCCACTAAGATTGTCCTATACCGAATTTGGTAAAATTTGTGTGGTTCTAAATCATTTTTGTTTTATTCTTACTTTATCATTTTAATATCAACCACGTGAACCCACACATCTTAATAATCGTGACACCTCCTCATGTCTCAATTTTATTGAGACAAAAGTAGTATCAACAACAACAACAACAACATTGCCCCGGTGCCGCAAAGGCTCCCACCTATGGTGTACGCAACCTTACCCATGTAGTACACATGAATACTATTTCTGGATGACCCATGATGAATATTGTAGAGTGATGGGAAACGGGAGGGGTGCACGTTTCCTCCTCTCTTTTTTTAGTGAGACATTTTACTTTATTCCATCATATTCCCAAGCCAAAAATAGTGAGTATTTAGCTCCATTGAAAATGATGGAAAATTGCCTAACTAAAAAGTATGATAGAGAAAATTAATAATTAATGTTATACTTTTCATATGGGGTAATTAGTAGTTTACCACTCAAATGTTATAAAAAAGAGAGGTAATTAAAACTTAATGGTAGGACATCCGAAAAAGGAAAGTGGAGACTTAATTGTGGGACGGTAATGCCGAACTCAAGGGCCCTCACTTGCATTGCATCGTGTTTAATAGCCTTAGTGTATGAGTAAAATGATGGGTCTGCACTCACTAGATTTGCTAGGGAGTACACAAAAAACTGTACAAAAAAATAACAAAATGAAAACTGGAAAATCAATTGGTTGGCCATTTTGTTTTTCAAAATACAAGGTACGGTTATCCGACTAAAAGAAAAATATGTCTCGCAGTATGGCTACAGTTTTAAAATAACTTGCAATTAACTGAATATTCGGGTTCTACTCAGTCCAGGAAGTCCTTCAGTAAAATATATAAGAGTTAAGAATGTGTTTATAACTTCGTATTGCCATTCAAATTGGCTTTGGTGCAGTATCGTGATTCTAGTGTAGAAGTTGTGGGCAAGTTAAATGTTGCTTTGCTTCAACATATAAAGATAATGAGCTAACTGTATGATTCTATGAATATCTTCATTTATTTTATCCCCTTTCCAAAGTATTCATTTGTGATGTTTCTAATTCTCTATGGTCTTATGAATCCTATAAATGTTGGAAAAATGTGTTAAAAATTGCATTAAATGGTCATTTTGGGGCAATTATTTGAGTGGGGTCCACTTCCGATTTGGGTCGGGTCAAAGTGGTTTCGGATTGTCCTTGTTAAGGGCTACAATTCGATATATGGTACGCTCAAAACGGATAACGGGTGAATGAGAAATTGTTTCTCGAAGTTCACTCGTTGAAATGGAAAAACTGGGAAAATGATGAGTTTCTAGTGTGTTTTATCCCACACCGAAAAACTCAAGGGATTTTCACCCCCTTATAAAGGGAAGCCTCTTTTAAGGAGTTAAGATTCCTAAAGGGAAAGGCTCTCTCTTACGCGCAGGGGGGGGGGGGTGCCGATCAAATCCCGAAACGGAGAAGAAAAACCGCGACTCGTGTGCGCGGGCGAAACCCTCCAAGGGGGTTCTGTTGGCTTCGGACAGAAACCCTCCAAGGGGGTTCTGCTGGCTTCGGACAAAAACCCTCCAAGGGGTGTTCTGTTGGGGTCTTCTGTCGCGCACTTCTTCCGTTACAACAATTAATGTCCAACGTTCTTCTCTTTTAATGCTGCGTTAAATGGACAGTTTATGGACGATTCAATGCCCAACGGATTGGTCATTGATGTCCAACGTTCAGGTCCATTAACACCCCATTTAACACACAACAAATCCTCCTATAAATAGCTGGCAGGTGCTTTGCAACAAAGACACGGTTTGACAACGCACAACACTTTCCTCACGTTTCTTGGGCTAAAAACTCTTCCAGCTACTCCCAAAATTCCTTCTGTGTTCATACTTGGTTCTCGTTCGCTGGAACTCTTGTTTGTGTGCTCAAACATTAGTTCGTAGTCATCGTATCCTGGGAAACGATTGTTGCAACGCTCCTAGCACCGTGGGAGGCAACAAATACGTTTTAAGGAAATCGTGCGTACCACGAGCTTTGGCTAATTCTGCTTCATCTCCTTTCTTGTTTTTCTCTAGTCATTTTATTTAATTAATTTATTTAATTAATTTTCTTTATTTTCCGAAACACACCCAACAATAAAGTCTTCTCTCTATCATTAATTAATATCAATTAACATTAAAAATGCTGAAGAAGAATCTCATTTTCATATTTGCTTGCATTGGTGATGATTTTGATTTTAGTTGAGGATCAATTTATCAATAATTATGTAGTTTCTTGAGTGGTTAAAATTTGACCCAACAGGACCCAACAATCGATACAGTAATCTTCCTTGTTTCCCTTTATGTCTTCTTTGGCTCTAAAAGCAGTGGTGAGTCTGCTCTAGAGTACGGCATCCGGTCTTTGAGGAAGTTAGGGTCTTCTTACCTGGGTGGAGATGATGATGGTGATACTACTAAGCAAGATGAAAAATTCGGACTGGATGATGGCAATGATGGCATTTTTCTGAAAAGCTTTCCTGTAAGTTATCTAAAAAAAGTCTTCTAAACAATTTCATGTCATGTACTTGTGTATTCTGATAAACACTTTGATGTTCGATGCATTTTAACTTTTCACGGTTGTAAGGTTTGTGATGATCGACATTCAGAACTAATTCCCTGTCTAGACAGACATCTCATATACCAAATGAGATTGAAGTTGGACTTATCCTTGATGGAGCACTACGAAAGACATTGTCCTTTGCAAGAAAGGCGTTACAATTGCATGATTCTTCCTCCCCTCGGATACAAGGTTAGACAGTATATGCTAATATAGTAGCATATGTGTACCGGATTCTTCTAATTTCACAATTCTCATAAATATCCTCGTGTAAATAAGTCATTTTTTATTATTTGGTACAATAATAGATACCTATTAAGTGACCTAAAAGTAGAGATGAGGTGTGGAAAGCAAACATAGCTCATACCCACCTTGCTCATTAGAAATCAGATCACTACTGGCTGGTTGTCAAGGGTGAAAAGATTAGGGCCTGTTTACTAACAAAGATATTTTCCTGTTTTCTACTTCTGTTTTTCGTTCTCCAATTTTCTGTTTTAATTTTTCAGTTTTTCTATCTCCAGTTTTCTGTTTCTATTTTCTAGTTTTCCATTTTCAAATCTGAAAAACATGTTCATCAATTTTTTCACTCAGTTCTGTGATCATCCAGAAGACTGACACTTTACTTCACATGTTACTAAATGGTGCTTATTAAGACTCGCGTTAATAAGCGACGCATAAAATAAGCAATGTTATAAGATAATGTTTACTTCAAAAGGTTTAAAACACCGTTTAACATTAAAATGTCCAAAATAACCCTATACATATCAGGGTGGGGCCAATGTAGGGAGTTGGGATAGGATGGCGGTAGTGTGGGCCGGGATCAGGGTGGGGCCGAGGTAGGGTGGGGGTAGGATGGCAGTAGAGTGGGTGGGGGTAGGATGGTGGTGGGGATAGGATGGCAGTAGGGTGGGTGGGGGTAGGATGGCGGTATGAGGGTGGGTTTAGCGGTAGGGTAGGGCCGAGGTAAGGGGCATGTGGGAAGGGGTAAGGTAGGGGTAAGGGGTAATATACGAGGTGGGGTACGGTAGGGTGGGTGTAGGCGGGGTTGAGGTGGTAGGGGGTGGCAGTAGGGTAGGGTGGATTGAGGTGGGACCAATGTAGGGGCATGTGGTAGAGGGTGGGGGTAGGGTCATTGTAAGGAAAAGGGGTATGCGGGGTGGGGGTTGGGTGGGTAGGGTAGGGTAAGGGTAAGGGGTAAGGTATGAGGATGGAGGTAGTAGAATGGAATCGACATCGGAACGGGAGCGGGCCCGCCACTAGGTGTAAGTATCCAAATTCATTGCAGCGGCCTGTAGCATCCGCGTTTTCCAAATTTGGAAAACTAGTAAAAGTCACTTCTCCAAATCATAAAGGAAAAGAGAGACATGTCTCATTTTTTCGTTTTGAAAAACGGTTTGGTAAACGCGTTTTTCTGTTTTCCTTTCTCCAGTTATCCAGTAATTTTCTTTGTAAACGCGTTTCATGTTTTCTGTTTTCTAGTTTGTCATTTCTCTGGAAAACTAGAAAATATCTCTGTTAGTAAACATGCCCTTATATTTCGAGGAGGAGGCACTCATTTCCATTACGGAGCGGACAAATACATTGCTTCAATTGCTAACGTAAGAGATTCTGAACATTTCTTTTGTGAAAGTATTTTGCACCAAAAGCATATTAAACATGTACAAATGTTCACTGCATTTTATGTGGTGTCCCAATTTATAGATGTTGAACTTTTCAAAAAATATCTTGAATAATGAGGGGAATGTACGCACAGTTTTTGATGTTGGTTGTGGTGTTGCTAGCTTTGGAGGCTATCTTCTTTCATCTGATATAATAGCAATGTCCTTAGCACCAAACGATGTGCATCAAAATCAGATCCAATTTGCATTGAAAAGAGGAATTTCTGCATCTCTTGGTGTTCTCGGAACAAAGAGACTTCTGTATCCAAGCCGTTCATTTGAGTTTGCTCGTTGTTCTCGTTGTAGGATTGATTGGTTGCAAAGGGATGGAATTCTTCTTCTCGAGTTAGATAGAGTTCTTAGACCGGGAAGCTATTTTGCCAACTCCTCTCCGGAAGCATATGCACAGGATGAAGATGATCTTAGAATATGGAGACAAATGAGTGCACAGAAAATTAAAAAGAAAATTAGACCCTATGGGAAAATTAGAGTATTAACATTGGAGTGAAGGTTTAGATGTTAATATGGTATTTATCAAAAAGAAAATTAGACCCTATGGGAAACATTTACATATCAGACCAGAAAGATGACACATTTAAACTCCATATCAATTATCAAATCAGCCAATAAAGATCAAATGAGATCTTATAAATTCAAATGAAATCAAAAAATTTCAGACAAAGAGAAAGATGCCACTCATATGTCCCGTTTCTTACTTAGTTGTTTGATTGCACTCATAGGCAACTCTTGACTCCTTATCAAGTTATCAGCATTTCCATTTTTTGCCAACTCAAGCCTCAAGGAGTCATGGCCAAGCCTCCCCTCCCTCCTCCTTAGTTTTTCTGGTTTGCTTGTTGGTGTGCATTTTCTCCAATACGTCCTGCAAGTGAGATATATTTAAATTATTTATTTTCCGTTTTTTGCACCAGATGACCACAGAACCAAGGGAAGTGGATTGGCACCTTGGCCAACTCGATTGACCACACCTCCTCCGCGGCTTTCTGATTGTGAAAGACATAAGAATATTCTTTAGAATATGCTTTAGAATATTCTTCTATCTTTAGAATATGCATTAGAATATTTTAGGAATATACTCTAGGATACTAATATTGTATAGAATCTTAAAGGAATATTCTATCTTTGTAATGTATATATAGGGCCTTAACCCTCCAATGAAATACACAGAAAATCTTTCCTCCACTTTTCATTATTATTCTAGTTTATATTTCAACATGGTATCAGAGCATCAGAGCATATTCTGGTTTCTTCCCGTTCAGAACATCTGCAGTCTCAGAACCTCAGCAGAACATCAAAGGACACTTTAGTTCATGACCTTAGTCCAACGAGTTGCACTTTCCACCGCTGACTACGCCTTTGGAGTCCGCACCGGCAAAGCCTCGCATGTCAGTCACACGCGTCGTCGAAGGCTTTCGAAGCTGCCGCACACGCCGGCGAGTGAAGCTTCACAGCTGACCGGAATTTTTATCGGAAATCCCCATCTAGGTCGCCTGAGTATTCTCTGTCGGGTGAGTCCATTTCTCCCGATCTGCAAGCTTTTGGATCCATAGCCTTCTGTGCGTATATGTTTTCTCTAGTTATGTGTACCAGTTTTTTGAGAAAGGATGGGATTTTAGGCTGAGTGAGCTGGCTCGCATTAGTAAAGGGCTGCGTATATTGTTGGAGTTGCCGCTGGTAGGTCTTAATTAGCTGTATTTATTTGTTTAAAAAAAGGAAAACTACAAAAAAAAGAATGTCTTGTACGGGTCCATTTGGCAGAGGAGTAATATGCAATTACTGCAAGAAGCCCGGATACTTGATCAAAGAATGTAGGAAATTGCTATTCAAGAATCAAGGAAATCAGCTTGGTCATGTTGCTTCCGCTACCAGTTCATCTGATGGATCAATTGTCGTTTCTTCATACGAGTATGCCAAATTTATTTCCTACCAAGAATTTCTAAAGCATTCATCTGTCCCTATCTCGGTAGTCAATGATTCAGGTATTTCACACACATGTCTTGTTTCCTCATCCTCCAAATGGGTCATTGACTCAGGTGCCACAGATCATATGACTGGTAATCCTAGTCTATTCTCATCATTTCATTCATATTTACCTACTTCTAGTGTCACTTTAGCTGATGGATCTACCTCATCGGTTCTTGGATCTGGTAATGTTAACCCAACTTCTACATTACCATTATCACCTGTTTTGAGTCTCCCTAATTTTGCATTTAATCTGCTTTCCATCAGTAAAATCACACGTACTCTTAATTGTTCTGTAACATTTTTTCCTGGATATTGTGTGTTTCAGGATCTATTGACAAAGCAGACTATTGGTAAATGACATGAGTCGGTTGGTCTTTATATTTTAGATACATCAATGACAAAAGGTATCTCTTGTCTTGGGTTGGAAATCTATTAGAAGCTCATTACCAATTAGGACATCCGTCTCTCCCACTAATGAAGCAAATATATCCTCAGTTTAACAAGGTGTCATCTATACAATGTGAGTCGTGTGCATTTGCAAAACACCATCGTACTAGTTTAAGTCCTCGACTTAATAAACGAGCAAACGCTCCGTTTGATCTTGTTCATACTGATGTTTGGGGGCATGTCCTGTTGTGTCCAAATCTGGTTTCAAATATTTTGTTACATTTGTTGACGATTATTCTCGTGTGACATGGTTATACTTTATGAAACATCGATCAGAGTTATTTACTCATTTTTCTACATTTTGTGCTGAAATTAAAACTCAATTTAATGTTCATGTTCGTGTGTTGAGAGGAGACAATGCCCAAAAATATCTCTCTGCTCCATTTAAATCTTTTATGCTTCGAAATGGCATCATTCATCAAACTTCATGCGTAGACACACCTCCTCAAAATGGAGTCGCAGAAAGAAAGAATCGACATTTGTTAGAAACGGCAAGGGCTCTTCTATTCCAAATGAATGTGCCTAAACAGTTTTGGGCGGATGCCGTGTCTACTGCTTGTTTTTTGATAAACCGTATGTCGTCTTCTGTTTTAAACGGTAAAACTCCTTATCACTGCTTATTTCCAAATAAAGAGCTTTTTCCTATCCCACCTAAAACATTTGGTTGTACTTGCTTTGTTAGAGATGTTAATCCTCATCTTACAAAGTTAGACCCCAAATCATTAAAATGTATTTTCTTGGGTTATTCTCGAGTTCAGAAGGGGTATAGATGTTTTTGTCCAAGTACAGGTCGATATCTTGTTTCTATTGATGCATCATTTCATGAAAATATACCCTTTTCATCATCCAAGACAGATATTCATGATGACAATGATGAAATACTCATTTACTCTGTCACTATACCGGAATCTACACCTTCTGTAGTTATTCCACATGTTAGTGTTCCCGACCCCAGACCTCCAGTACACTTGGTTTACACCTGTCGAAACAGAGTACAAGATCACCCTCCACTTGTGGTTACTTCTCCTGATACTAATCCGATCTCGATGTCATCTCCTGAACCAATACCTACATCTTCAGATCCTGTCTCTACATCAGATCTTGACCTCCCCATAGCACTACGTAAAGGTACACGGTCTTCTACTCATCCTGTTTCTTCATTTATGTCATATAATCAGTTATCATCTGCCTCATGTTCTTTTATTGCTTCCATTGATTCTATTTCTATTCCCAAATCTGTTAAAGACGCTTTGTCTCATCCTGATTGGCGTCATGCCATGGTAGAGGAAATGAATGCTTTGGATCTTAATGGTACTTGGGATTTGGTAGACTTGCCTACATAGAAGAAGTCTATAGGATGTAAGTGGGTCTTTGTTGTAAAGGTTAACCCTGACGGGTCCGTTGCTCGGTTGAAAGCCCGATTAGTTGCGAAGGGTTATGCTAAAACCTATGGTGTTGATTATTCTGACACATTTTCTCCTGTTGCTAAATTAACATCTGTCAGATTACTTATTTCTCTCGCTGCAACTCATGGTTGGCACTTACATCAGTTGGACATTAAGAATGCATTTTTGCACGATGATCTTGAGGAGGAAGTTTATATTGAGCAACCTCCGGGTTTTGTTGCTCAGGGGGAGAATGGGAAAGTTTGTCGACTTCGCAAGTCTTTTTATGGTTTGAAACAAAGTCTCCGTGCATGGTTCGGGAAATTCAGCCAATCAATTGAACGAATTGGAATGATAAAAGGCAAATCAGATCACTCTGTATTTTAGAGACAAACGAAAGCAGGTATCACATTGCTTGTGGTATATGTCGATGATATTGTGCTTACAGGGAGTGATAATGCAGGTATTTTGGCCCTATAGAATTTTCTTCATAGCCAATTCAAGACAAAAGATTTGGGCTCATTGAAATACTTCTTGGGTATTGAGGTTACTCGGAGTAAGAAAGGCATATTTCTATCTCAACGTAAATATGTGCTTGACTTACTAACTACAACAGGGAAAGTGGGGGCAAAACCGAGCAATGCTCCCATGATTCCTAATGTGCAACTCACTCATGAAGGTGTACCATTCGAAGATCCAGAAAGATATAGAAGGTTGGTTTGAAAACTTAATTATCTTGCAGTTACCCGCCCAGATATTGCGTACTCAGTGAGTGTAGTAAGTCAATACATGTAATCTCCGACAGTTAATCATTGGAAAGTTGTAGAGCATATATTATGTTACTTGAAGGAGACACCAGGACGAGGTATTGTGTATCCAAATCATAATCACATGTGAATAGAACGCTTTGCAGATGCTGATTGGGCTGGATCTAAAGATGATAGAAGATCCACATCTGGCTATTGCGTCTTTGTTGGTGGTAATCTCGTCTCTTGGAAAAGTAAGAAGCAAAATGTGGTTTCTCGTTCAAGTGCTGAATCAGAATATCAAGCTATGGCACAATCGACATGTGAGATAATCTGGATAAACCATTTATTGAGTGAAATAGGGTTGAAGACACCAATGCCTGCTAAACTTTGGTGTGATAACCAAGCTGTTATACACATTGCCAACAATCCAGTGTTTCATGAGAGAACAAAACATATTGAGGTCGATTGTCACTTCGTTCGAGAAAAGATACAACAAGGATTGATCTCTACAGGATATGTGAAGACTGTAGAGCAACTTAGAGATTTGTTCACTAAAGCACTTAATGGAATTCGTGTTGGTTACTTATGTAACAAGTTGGGCATGATAAATATCTAAGCTCTAACTTGAGGAGGATTGTGAAAGACATTAGAATATTCTTTAGAATATGATTTAGAATATTCTTCTATCTTTAGAATATGTATTAGAATATTTTAGGAATATACTCTAGGATATTATTATTCTATAGAATCTTAAAGGAATATTCTATCTTTGTAATGTGTATATATATAGGGCCTTAACCCTCCAATGAAATACACAGAAAATCTTTCCTCCACTTTTCATCATTATTCTAGTTTATATTTCAACACTAATTTTGGGTATTCAAAT